TATTTTATTATTTTACTTTCTGTTACAAAACAAAAATGACCATGTTCACGTCTTAAAGTCATCCTGAGGCCTTAGTTTTGGTTTAAAATTACACAACGTGTTGCTTCTTTTGGGCTTGTTTTCATAGACCTGGTTGCTTATTTCTCTCAAATCTGGCAACAGAGTGGGCGCAGTGTCTAATAGTAGCAGTAAGCTAACGAGAGGCTACGTTCAGCTGGTGACTCGGGAGTCGGGACAGAGAAAATGTCAGGAGTTTGGAAGTGTTATAAAATTGAAAGTGAAGGCAGTGTAACAGCCAGATGCAATGTTTGCAAGGCGGAGACTTTTAAAAGGAGAGAGAAACTGCCCCAGAACAGTGAAAAGGCCAAAAAAATAACAGCCAAGATAGCTGAATTCATCGCGTTGGATGACCAGCCGTTATCTGTTACCTTTTTTTTCTCTTAATGCATTGCATAAAGATCGGAACAAATCGGTATCGGCAGATTGTCAAAATCAAATGATCGGAATCGGATCGGTAGCAAAAAAAGGTGATCGGGACCTCCCTACCTATTATACTGTTCTTCATCAATATATCACAGGTCTCAGATATACACAGAGCCTGTGACTGCTAATGCTTCCACAAAAGGATATAATATGGTCCAGGGCGGGTGCCCCCCGTTGATGTAGAGCACGTACGTGAAGCCGTCTTTGAGCACGCCTCTGATGGAGTAGTAGTACGGCAGGTAGTGGTGCTGCCGGAAGTCCCGGTTCTCGTAGAAGTGGATGGCCGTGGTGTTGGTGGTGAGCACGTGCAGATAGATGGCCTTACAGTGGTCCTGCGCTGTGGTGGAGATGTGCTCCTTCAAGCTGTCCAGCAGCAGGGAGCCTGGACCAATCACAGAGCAGCACAGCATCAAAAACAACCCTGAGCTTCACTTTGGGGTACTCTACATTTCCAGGGTCACATGTTGGTAATGTCCTGAGCTCTTATTTCCACTATTCCAGTGGCGCTGTTGGGGTTAGTGTAGTGGTCTTGTGTCAAATGATTGTGTGTGAGTCAATGGAGTATCCTCGTATACCACAGACTGTGTGTGTGTGTGTGTGTGTGTGTGTGTGTGTGTGTGTGTGTGTGTGTGTGTGTCAGAGAGAGTAAGAGAGAGAGAGGGGGTAAAAAGAGAGAGTTTTATTAGACCCATAACTCTTCAGACTCAGGCTGTGAAGCTGAAGGCCAAATCTATGGCACACCGCAGCCTAATCTGAAACAGAGGAAATGCTGCTGAATATTAAAGACATTCTGCGGCTGCACACCAACCTGCAGCCCGGGTGTAGTTTGTAGAATAACTCACTTTTACCAGGAAGAAAACTCTGAAATTATTCACTTATATTATAACTTTAAATCTGGGGTTCTGCTTCATATTCAGGAAGTGTCTCCAAAAACACACTCACTATAGGGCGTTATTGTCAGAATAATCATGCATCTATGCTGTTTACATTGTGTTTGCAGATATTGTGTAGGTGCTTGCATTATCTGAAAAAATACATATTATTTGATTACAACTGTGTTATCACCATAGCTTCATGACAACCCAATACACATATTTTTGTCCAGCTGATCTGGTAACACTGAACCCTGCACTTCATCATGAAAGCCTTCATGAAATAATAAAATGTGAGTGACATCTAGTGGATACATTCTGAATGACACCTTAACAGACACTAGAGATCTTATGTGGTAATTGTAAAAGGCTAAATTATTACCACCTATATTCCACTTCCGTAGTCCTAATCTTGTAGATGCTGAAGACTACGTTTTTTACTTATTCAAAAATAGGCTATTCTTGGTTTCTAAATATTTCTAACTAAAGGCTAATTTGGTAATTGGTGTCTAACTTTTCATTAATGGCCTTGAATGTTTAATATTTGATGATACGTCGTAAATATGACATACATTTTATTCATTAATTGCCGGACACTGCCAATAATTATACTCCATTTAGTGACCATAAGGAAAATAATGTGTCACTAAAGTGTTTAGAGAAATATCTTTCAACACAAAAAAGTATTGATTGAAATAACAACTCTTTAAATATGTATTTATTGTAGGTCTTTTAATCTGACTGCAATACAAAATCCCAAAAGGGTGTAAATGTCATATTTTGAGCAAAAGACTACAACGCAAAGGACTCTGGGAATAAAATCAACCAAGGCTGCGCGGTGACGTCATGAGTGTGTAACGTTCATTTACGTCGCCACGCCGCTTGTCAGTTGAGATGTCAGTTGAGCTAAAGTCTGCTGTTTGCTAGTTTCCGCGCTTAGTTGACTCAATGGCCGGTTAACAGAAACCCTTAAACACCACCAAATGTAAGTATTTATTTTAATTTAAAAGGCTTAATGCAAATAAAAATCCTTAAAGACAGCGTGTTGTTGGGACGGTGCTGGTCTGTTGTTGTTATTGTTCAGTAGCTGCTAACATATGCTAACAATTAACTTAACGTTATACTCTGATGCTGTTTAATGGTAATTCAACAATAGAGAAAGTTGCCTACGTTACAAACGGTCTTATATAACGGTTCTATTATCTGATAGCAGGTGGTTAAAAATATCTAGTGTTTAAATGGAGGAGCTAATGGTAGCTAAGACTGCATTAGTTAAAGCCAGAGGTGGAACGATGGGTGGAACAAGTACTCAGATATTGTACTTGAGTAAAAGTAGAAGTACCAGGGTGTAGGAATACTCTGTTACAGTAAAAGTCCTGCATTCAAAATGTTCTTCAAGTAAAAGTAGAAAAGTATTATCATCAAAATTTAGTTATATAAGTAGTGACAGTAAAAGTAGTCATTGTGCAGATTGGTCCATTTCAGAATAATATATTATGATATGTTTTATAATGATTGGTCATTAAAGTGTTCTCAAAGCTGGTAAAGGTGCAGCTACTTTGAGTGACTTTGTAAACTGCAGGTACTCTGTATATGTAACTTATAGTTTCACTGTCTCCTGTAAAAGTACATTTGCCTGCAAACATGCTAAAAATAGGTGGTCTTAAAGTAAAAGTATTTGTATCCGGTGACTGCCCTGGAGCTGTAGCTAACCCCAAGTATTTTGGTTTAGAAAGTTTACCAAGTTTGCCCAGGATGTTTCTCACAATCTGCTTATTGGTGAAGTAGCTGTAAAGAACCTGCACATGGTTGCCTTGTTATCTAAGTTGACTTATTTAAAAGATAAATCATATGTGCATGTTTGTATCGGTCATGTAGCATGAACAGCTTTTCAGTGTTACAGATATGAATACATCATAATATGAACCTTTGTTGTGTTCTCTAAGTTATATAACTAGCCATAAGCAAAGTTTTCAGTACTAAATCCTCTACAACAATGGAAACCAGTGTGTCCAGCAGGTTTCCTGTAGACAGCTTCATAAATCCTGTGATAATGTAAGTGTTGTGTAAATGTTAAAATCGGGACTAACAGAGACTTTCTGTTCCACAGTGAAGCAAAGGAGTAAAAGAGGGATTTACAGATATGGGGGCTCTGATATCCAGATGGAGGGTAAGTGGATGAAAGAGTAAACACAAAACACACTTTAGGTTTAGGTACCATATAGGAAACGTGTTGAAAGGAAGTAGTAGCATTGCTTTTTATAAACAAGCAAGATAAAACACAATCCTATGTCAAAACTAAAACAAGTTCTTCAAATCTTAAAAAGTTCCCTTTTTAAGAAAATATTAAGCTGATAAAACAGATTTTGCAGGCCTGAGATCTTCTGGAAGAACATCGCCTTTCATCGCAGGCTTTTCATCTAAAGGGTTGATGAATCATTTGGGCCCAAGTCGTGCATTATGTCGCTCAGTGTTAGTAACATCTTAACATCAGTTGCTAAATATACAGCAACAGATGTAGATAGTCTACTCTATAAGATTCCCCTCGGCCCTGACCAGTCAAGTTCTTAAAATAGACATTTCAAGGTTATTGTTTTATTTAGCGTTTGGTCTGCAGCCGTGAACAGACGTCTCAAGTTATCTCCAGATTAAAGTCAAACAACCAATGAAAAGAGTTGTGTTACTTTAAGATATCTGCTCATTTCCTTCTGAGTGTATCAACCACAATTGTATTTCACGTCTTAAGCCTTGAAGAGTGAGCTTGAACACTGATTCAAAGTGTGTGTGTGTGTGTGTGTGTGTGTGTGTGTGTGTGTGTGTGTGTGTGTTCCCTGAGCAGGTGCCCCTTGTGAATGCTGACTTGCATATGCACTGTAAAAGCACTATGAGACGCAAGACTGTAAAAGTGTGTATATAAATGCAGTTCATTCAGCATTAATTGTAAACTTCCCCAAACAACCAGGCAAAAAAGGAGGCAGAGTGCATCATGCCTGTGTTTTGACTCTGACGCAGTAACAACTATATGTGAAAGCTTTACAGAGCGCTAGACAGCCTTACTGCAATATTTTTTATTATAACTTCTTCTTATGATTCTACTGAGACCTACATGTACACCATACATTGTTACACTAAAACTCGTCAGAACTCCGTAAATAAAGTGTTTGATGCTCATTTTGTCCCCCAGACCAACTATATGATGTGTCACTGTGACGTTTTATTTTCCATTTGAAAATACTGTATCCCCTGTCCCTCATCATCCCTACATGCCCCTGCAGTGTTTTAAAGTTTATATATTCCAGGCCCTTCATTCATAAGGGGAATGAAGCAGCTAACTGTAGATAAATGCACGATGAAGTGAGTGAGCAGCTGATTTTTTTGGGTCTAATGACGGAAGAAATTAATGTCGCTTGTAGACGGAAACCATAATTTAACGGAGTCCGTTACAGAAAACATAAAAAGGACAGCTAAGCGTCGGGTTAGAGAGAGACAGCGTCTCTATTCGGCGTTATTTTTTTTTTATTCGCGGGGTGCGCGTCTTCTGTAATGGTTGATGGGTGTCTTAGGCGATCAGCAAAAGAGACATGATGTGTACACGAGACAAACTTGTTTGGGACACTACATCAAAGGTTGCGAGACACAACACGAACTGAGGGATATGGAGCGGTAATGTTCACTATTTATGTTTGCCAAGAGCAAGTTTCTATCAGTGTCAGTAGTGAAAAATAGGTCCTGGTCACCGCAACGAAATGAGAAACTTTTGAGTAGTGGAATTAGCGTAACATGAGTACCAAAGCCCACCTTTCTGGGAAGCGACGTAATTCTATTCATGGTGTCAGCACAGCCCATCAAGAAAAAAAATAAATAGGATGTCTCTAGGCTCCCGAGTCTTATCTTGGACGGGCCGCCTTGCGAGAGTTCATTTTCATTCATCAGTTCATACATATCCTAAAGACTGATAAAAACAAGAAAAATAATTGATGACGGAGTCTGGACCGTCTCCCTCACGAGCCCAGTAGACAATGTGAGCGGAGTTGTGGTTATTGATTATAAATAGGCAGCAATCGGGCAGCATATATAATTATTACAAACACACAGACTTCCGTAAGGGATGCGGACTCACTCGGGTGGACGACTGTCGAAAAAGAGTTGGGCGATCTGGTGGGTTTTTTAGTGACCAAACGTTTCGTGCTTTAATAACTAGTGCAAAGCCCACGCTCTCGTCGCAGGAGGCGGAGCGAAACCAGAAGATCTTACTGGACACACACGTTTTGTACCGGTCCCGCAAAAACGCAAATTACAAGAAAGAAGACAGTAATTGCATGCAACAACAGAACGGAAGCGTCCTGCTGCGAGCGATAGGCGCTGATCAATCAAAAGACAATACAAACAGGCATTGACGAAAATGCTCAGCCCAGCAATCAGCAATATAACGTATGGCGCATGGTCCGGAGCGGGGAAAGGACTGGCAGTTACTACATGCGACCCAAACACAGTGTGGCGTTTTGCATAATCAAAATAAGCTGTTTTAGGACGTAGGCATTTTAACTACCGTATGCGATGGGCAACATAAAGGAGGACACCGGTCCAAGAGGCCTAGAATGAGGGTCTCGTTATCTGTGTCAATTTAATTAGGTGGGAACTGCACCACAACATAAGATAAACGAAACTAATTATATTGTGTTCAACCTCATACAGCTCTCCTGGGAACTGCCCAGCCTCGTGGGATTGAAAGCGAAGAATCGGTGGCTTATAATAGTTGGTAGCCTTCATTCCACTAAGAGAGGGTCGAAGCGAACTTGGTGGGAACAGGGCGCACTATCCCAGTTGAGACGTTTCGTAGATGACTACAGATCCTCTCCTCGGGCGAGGGCCTCCAATGCGGGCTTCGCGCATCCCTACTTCACAGCTCTGTCGTGAAACTTTCCCTACCTGTGCCCGTCTGACAGGTTTTGACCTAAACTTTGCCCAGTGGGGCAGGGCGGTCCCTTGATGGTTGTTACGACCTGAAAACATGCCACAAAGCGTTGTACACAGAGTGAGATACAGCGGGTGCAGAGATATGGCTCTCAAACATACAGAATTTTCTGCAAAAAGCTCGATAAAAAGGTCAAGTGTATTATTTGTTGCAATAATGAGACGGGTCAATAACGTTTGGACCACGATGACACAATGTAGGGACGCTCCAAATGCCCCTATCCTTTGTGAATGGTAAATTTATCTTCACCCACCTTTTACGGAACCACGGTAATTACCCTCGTGAATTATATGATAGTGGTAATCGTGGGCTAGGTGTGGTCGTAAGGCCGGGTCACGGGTGATCATACGGTCGGATTCACGAGTCGTTCTGCGAAATATAAATGTGTCTGAAGTTGGACCAGAGAATGATCAAAACACTGGGTGGACGAGACGAATAACTATTGTTAAATGAATTGTGAAATGGTAATTTAACTAGCAGGACTGTGGTTACGTAAATCAGTTGTCCCAAGCTCTCCGTCTCTAAAACGTTACCTTAGTGCCGTCATCGAGGTCAGCTCGTTAAGAATTCTATTCTATATGAAATAACTAGAGGTTCAACCTTTGTAAGACGCATGTAGTCGTGCTCCTACAGTTGTCAAGCATTGTATAACCGTCAACCACAAAGAAGGCAGGCGTTTTTTATTATTTAAAAAATCAGCTACTCATCACGTAGTATAGGTGTAACATTGTTGAGTGAAGCTAGTCCATTCCCCTTAGAATGAAGGCCACACCCTGTTCAAAGAGCAATAGGTTACCTTACCTGCGAGTGTAACGGAAATTCCCCGGCTTTGTTTGGCTTACGCGAGCGAGCGTGACGCGTAGTTTAGGGCCGTCGTCTACCGCCTATGTCAACCGTAGTCAACTTTCGGGATAAATAAAAGCGAGAAAGAGGCTGTCGACTTCCTCGGCCATCCTCCCAGTGTTGAAGACTCGCTTTCGATGCCTCCTGGAGACTTAGTCCGCACCGGTGACGCGAGCTGCTAATACCTCAACTGCTCACACACAACCAAAGACCGTTTCAACTGGTCTTCAATCTCTATCCAACTACTACTGCATTCTGACAAAAAACAGGTGCGAGTCGTTAGCCCTGTAAATATTTTATTGAGCAAATAACACAGGTTTTGAACTATATTATACAATTTGCAACAAAAAGTCGGTTGATATAAATATCTATTCGAAGGATGCTGAATACGGAATTATTTGTTCGTTGTAGTATTACCTAAAAATGCCCACCATTACTGTTAATAGACGTTGTTGAATAAAACCCTGAAGAGGCAAGGACTAAGATATGGTGCTGGAAAACAAAAAACCAGTAGAGGTCAAGGCAAAACCTACTTGTGCTTTTCTTCTCCGATCTAGTGCTCGTAGGGGGCTTGTCAAAAATTTGGTTGACCTGTTGATGAGTGACCTTTCCTGTTTCCCTACAGGCTAGACGCACGTCTGTAGTCCCTATACTATCTCATTAAGTTGACCTTTTTCCTCAGTGTCTCTCTCGTACGAAACTTTTTTACAGGGGTGGAGGATGTCACGGTGTAGAACATAGTTACCCGGAGCGCGAGCGAGATACATCATCCAGACGGCGTCGCATTCATATAAGTAGACTCAGATATTGGGTAATCAGCATATTGACTATGTAATAAATAAACATGTCGTAACATAGTAATAAATTCCCTACGATCGTGGAGGTGAGCAAGTACTCGATAAAATTGGGAATTGAAGCAACAATGCGACGAGTTGATAAATAGTAAGCACAAAGACATGACTCTTTATCCCATCCATGAGTGCCCTTTGCGATAGAACTAATTCACAAGTATCTAGTTCTACTTATATGCCCCAGTTACATTTTGACTAAAATCGGAACCGATGAGCCGGGACCAGTGAGCGCGCCTACCTGAATAGTGGAACATAATGTTGTCCGACTCGATGGACATAGACAAAGCAGCCCGATCGTAAGCTTCGTCTGTAATACCACGTATTCCATAGTAATTAGTCTCCAATGGAACAAATCGTTACTTGTACAGACACAAGGAACCAAAGGGCGCAGGACATAATTCCCTGAAACAGCAAGATAACACTGGAACCAGTCGTACGGACGATCGTGATCGAAGTGTACTGTATTGTACTGTATCCGGAAAACGCGGGGTCGACCGTATGGGATTTTGCTTTAAGATAACAAAAAGACCAATTACGAAATTGAGAAGTAATGTATTGTGTCCAGTAGGTTGAGACCAAAGATTAGACATGTGAGAGACGCAGTAAAGGAGATGGTCCTTCGCAACTTTATGTAAGGTGGTGATCCCGATTGTAAAAATTCATTTCACGATGCTCCTACCATTTAACTTAATTTTACCTTATGGGTTCTTAGGCTAGCTAAGTGTAGATACTATGGCTGTAAAGATTGAGCGGGAGTGGGAGACTACTACAAAGTTTAACGGACTCGGAATTGTCTCTCTCATCTTGGAACGGGAACCGGGGGACGTCATGTAGACCTTTTTACGGGGAGTTTACACTAAGGAGGTGACCGGCCAAGAAACAAATTGAGGACGGTAGTCGTTGAGATTCTGTGTGTTTACCCTGGTCCTCAAACCTATCCCTTCAGGTTCCTCCGGCGCGAACGAGTTGACTCAACGGCTTTTGTTCGAATAATGTTAGCGGTTACGCAATTTGGTTATGTATAGTTGCGCTTTGGACCGGGGAGTTTGCACAACCAATGTACCAGGGACGGCCTATGTTTTACCTTTTTGGTTACGAAGCGTGGAGATTTTAGATAGAAAAACCAAAAGAAATCGGTGAGTAGGAAAACATAATAAACCGAGTATAGATTTATTCAGAACGACTCCCGTCTGGGAGGATAACATGACTGTGTGAGACTCGGTGTCGTCACCTGTAAAACACAATCTGCTAAACATTGTGCTTCATCAAAGATCAGTATGAAAGATTTATAACTTATGTCATTATATTGAGAGAGGTAATGGTGGCGCCATTTCAATAAAACCCAGTAGGTCTTTGTATATATATCACATATAACGATTTCCTACTCCAGATTTACGTCTTAGGGAAAGTCAAAAGAAGGGATACCGTCCGTGTTTTACCCTTAGTTTCGGTCCCAGAGTACAATTGATTCTGGTCGGCAGTTGGTTTATCCGACGTCGTGAAAGAAGCGGGAGACGTCCTATTTCCAATGGCCCTCTACTCGTTTCCGTAATAGTCTTACCTTCGTCTAAGTTCAACTTTTCGACCTGTATGGTAGAATAGTTGATTACCAAATGTTTTGTTCTGTGATGTAAACCCTAAAGTTGTGTTCTTGTAGGTTAAATCGTTGTGACCCGGGGCAATCGGTTTGTTTAGCGTTCGTGCCCGTCGCTAGCCAAATTTATTTATTTCTTGTA